TTATTTATTTATTTATTTATTTATTTATTTATTTATTTATTTATTTATTTATTTATTCATTTATTTATTTATTTATTCATTTATTCATTCATTCACTCACTCATTCATTCACTCATTTATTCATTCATTCATTCCCTGCTAGTATTATTGTTACAAGTAACTCAAGGCACTGAATATCCAACACACCTTACCCCTCCTATTTACCCCACAACCACATTGTGAAATGGCTTGGGCTGAGAGAAAGTGACTGGTCCATTAAGTCACCCAGCTGACTTTCAGGCTAAGGTGGGACGAACTCATGGTCCTCTGCTTTCTAGCCAGGTGTTTTAACCACGAGACCAAACTGGAATTAAAAGTGATTTATAGAAATAAATGTCCTTGCATTGTGAACAAGTGTGGAAATGTGAGGAATATTTTCTTCTTTAAAAATAATCTACTTTATTAAAAAATATCTTTATTGAATTTTTAATTCTATGCCATCAAATTAGATATACTATTAAAAGTATCAGCTCAAATGTGTTGATTTCAGATTCTAATAAGTACCATCTTGGTCATGATTTTGAATCTCAGTAAAACTGGCAATACTTCTTTTTATTGGAAAACAACAGCATCATGCTTTGTCTTGTTCTTAATAATGAATAACTTATATCGAATCTGACTAATTTTTACATTTTAATAGAACATCAAAAACTTAACTTCTGATGACTGCAAGGATACATCCAAGTAGTTTTCATAGTATTATATAGTTTAGCATTGTGTATTTCTTTTTGTTTCCCCAACTCTCTAATGTAGCCTATAACCCTCAGATTTCCTGGTGGAGTCCCATTCAAGCAATAATCAGTGATCTCCTGTCTATGCACTAACTAGAACTGTCCTTGCTGATTTCTGAGATCAGCCATGGTCAAAAGTTGCCACCACTAGAGTAGGGCTTAAAGGTATATACTAAATAATTGCTTAGAATCTTCACATACTAATAGTCTTGTGAATGTCACATATTTTGTAGTTTAAATAATAACATAACATTTGTCTGAATTTGTATAGGTAATTCTCCCACTTCTTAAAAGTGACCTTTATGAGGTTATGCAAGCAACCATTGATAAGAAGTTGTCCAACTGCATACCCGTTTGGTTTGAAGATCGTGCAGCTGTTACTGTGGTCATGGCTAGTGAAGGCTATCCAGGAAATTATGCCAAAGGTTTGGAAATAACAGGTATGAAATAATCACATAGAATCCCAAGTACAGCATTTTCAGTGTTCCCATTCCACTGGAGGCCGTGTGAATTTCTTGGTATGCTGTGTCAAAAAAAAAAAAAGAATATTGGCTTTAACAAGTTTATTTTTTGAATGTGTTTACCTTCTGTATTAGAATACAAGCAGAAATAATAATGTTCTTTTCTATCAGATAAGATTTTTGATGCAGAATCTCAAAGAGATATGGCTGCCCTCAGTAAGGCCGGCACACTGAAATGGATGAATTGGTATAAATGCACCTTTCAGTTTCAAAAATATGTAAATAGAAAATGTGCAAATAGCCCAAGGGTTTTTCCTTAAGACTTAGATAAATACATACAATAGTTAAATATGGAAACTATAATCAAGTTGCTAACCGTGTACATATATTATTTGTGGTGCTTCAGAGGTTGAAGATGTATATTATTTGAGTGGCAACTATATAATAAAGTAAGAGATCAACAGGGCATCTTAAACTACACATTAGACATACAGCTCATTTGGATGCTTACATTAGAACAATATATTTAATACATTGCCAGAATCTGAATATAGCATATAATTTGACAATTTTATCTGAATAAAACAGTACTATTGAGGCTGTTGCATATATGGCTTTTATTAAGGTAAATAATAGAAGTGATCAGAAATATGAATTCAATTTTCTTCTAATTTTGCTTTTTACTCTATTACTGTATGTATAAACTTATTATATCTTGCATTTTGATATGGCCTAATGGCTAACAGCTAACTTATTATTATGGATGGTTGCACAGCCAGATGTTTAGACTGGATTTGGCATTTTTGTCTACAAGCGGGTCATTATTATTATGATTACTACTACTACTACCACTACTACTACCACTACTACTATTACTATGAGAAGACGAAATTGGTTATATCAGAAGTGGAAACCTATCACTTCCAGGTGTTCTGGATCATCACAAACTTCACAAAGCATATTTGGTAGTCAAGGTTTCCAGGCTTTGAGAGATCAGTACCATGATATTGATTAGATTTGCCAAGTAATCTTACCTTGTATTCTAACCAGGCTTCCCCAATGCAAAGTTCAAAAGTTCTGTTGCCCTGCAGTATTTGTAGTTTATGTCGGATTTTAATTTAGAAGGGTTTGTTGAATGGACTCCTCTGAGGAGTCAATTAGTTGCCTCTATTTTGATTGATCTACCTCATCTGTTTGCTTTGGGTGCCTTTGTGTGCCATCTGATTGGATAATCAAACATATCTAGCTCCATTGACCTGTTGACATCCCATTAATTGAGTACCAGGCTTCTAGGAATTCTCTGATTTTCCTGCTTTACATGATCATATATATTATGATATAATTTAAATACGTAAATAATTTTAGAAAAATTGATGAGAAAAAAACCTGGAAGTAGCTTGTCCATTATGTCATTTATGCTGTTGTGTTGTTACTTGTGGTCTTTACCATTCAACAATAGCAGTAATAGAAGTCATTATTGTATTAGCAATAGTAATAACAATACTAATAGCAATTATGATAGCACTTATTATATTAATACATACAATAGATACTTGGCAAAAGTTTTTTACTATCCAAATTTTATCTAGTTCTACCATATTGCCTTACAGGATTTTCTCAAGCTAAAGAACAAGGTTTGGAGGTATTCCATGCTGGCACAACCCTAAAAGATGGCAAGGTGGTTACCAGTGGTGGAAGAGTCCTCACTGTGACAGCTATCAAGAAAGATCTTCGATCTGCACTGGAACATGCCAACAAAGGAGTGGAAATCATTCGTTTCAAAGGGGCCATTTATAGAAAGGATATTGGTTATCGTGCTATTGCTTTTCTTAAACAATCCAGGTATCTATTTGAAGACAAAACTAAAAATTGATAGTTAAATTGAAGCAAGCAGAAGACCCACAAGTCATTATAAATTGCTGCTTGATTTAATGTTTATACAGTGAACTCTTGGTTTAATAGATCTCAATTAAGAAATTGGATCCATCTGAATGTAACATATACGCCCTTACCTGAAAAATTTAGAGGCAATTTGGTATCACGTTTAAGGTGTTGTCTCCTAGAAGCCCTCTGGGACTACACACTTTAGCTCCACATCCTGTCTTGGTGTGCACCTTGACAGTTACTGCTGCCACAAAGGGATGCCTTTTCTTGATGTCTTCTAACTCTAGATCCCCACTTGAATTATGTGATTAGAGAATTCAGATCCTCCTTCTTGTCCCCTTCTGTGGAGAAATAGACCAATCTCACAAGACATAGACTCAATCGTAATTATTTGTGCAGTTATATTAACAAAATTAGTATTTAATCCAGGAATTCACTTGAGTTTATCAGGGCTGTTAAAAAGTCTTTCTTTTAAAGAGAAAACTCCACCAAATATTAAAATTAGCATCAAAGTAGTATCAAACATTTCTTGATAACACAATCTTTTGTACTATATTAAAACAGTACTGTATTAAAAGTCCTGATAAAACTTTTCTTTGCTTGAAAGTGTATGACATATCAGTACACTGCAAGACTAATCTTCTGTAATGCAATAAAGTTACTAATTGTGTCGTCATATCTAGTTTTATTATTCTTAGTGTTGAATAATTATTTGAAAAGTGATACAAACCCACTTTGCTTTATTCAATGAAATGAATTTTAATTTGAAGCTACCTTGCATTTTATTTTGAAGTACGTATATTTGAACAGCTATAAGAGGACACTCACTCTGAAAAGCTATAGTACTCCATTGCAGCAAAACTGGAAAGAAAAAAGTTTTAGAACATTATTGCCAGCTTAAAGAAAGCAAAATGAACATTTTATAAAATCTTATTGACTGTATCAAATGCAGCATTATGAAGTAGCATTTTGGCCAGAAAAGGGTCTGTAATATTCAGTGAATTCAATGTAATATTTAAAGCAAGGGTCTTCAAACTTGGCAAGTTTAAGACTGGTGGACTTCAACTCGCAGAATTCCTGAGCTAACATGACTAGAGGAGGAATTCTGGGAGTTGAAGTCCCAGAAACTGTCAAGAAAGCTGTCAAGTTTGAAGACCCCTGATTTAAAGAGTTAAGATAGTCTTGTATTTAAGAATCTTGTGAAACAGCTCTTGTGAGATGTGAATTTATCACTGGACTTTGTATTGTATTCAGATAGGAACCATTTTATTTAAACTGAATTATTTGGGTACATACTTGATTGATAGTATTATAAGTAACAGAATTTTGATATTTTCATTGTGCTAATGAACCCTAATATTGGTATTTTTTCCCACAGAGACCTTAAAATTGTTTAAGTTATTAAACAGCTTTATCATTAGCATGATTCAGAATTGCTAAAATCTGAAAGTGTGTCTTATAAAACATGATATTGGTTCTTCCACAGGTTTACCCTTGACTGTAACCTGTAACCTTGACATCCCATGCCACAAATAATAGTCTACTTAAATAATTCTTAGATATTATTTAAATAGAGTATTGTCTGAGGTATGGGCTGTATTAGGTTGCAGTCAAGGGTAAACCTGTAGAATAATAGCAAGTTGAAACAGTAGTTTCATAAGTGTGTGTGAAGAATGCATATTAACACACAATTAAAAAATTAAAAATTATGTCATATTTTAGATATTGGTTGTAATATGGTAAGAGCTATTATTTTTCAGTAGTCTAACTTGACAAAAAGTAGATAAATCTATTTAAAATTCTATTGATGACACACTTGACAAAGAGATATTAAGAAGCTTGCTTTCATGGGTTCAGTAATGCCATATACTATGGTAGACTATGTTATAATTCCCTTGGATCTTTTTGGTCGACGTAATACCAGCTGGGGCATCACACACACCAGAAATGCCAGTATGTACTGGAACATAGCTACTGAGTTTTGAAATCAAAGTCATTATAATACCTTTCTAAAAATGTTTTTTAGAACACCTAGCTGTAGAATATCCTTAAAACTATATTTTTAGAACGCAAACTTGATTTTGGAACATTGGTTTTTAACAGCTAAATTTCTCTGTTGGGAATGCTTGTTGAAGGTAAAGAAGCAGGATGAGTAAAAAGTCCTTACAAATCTACACAGGCATTAGAAAATACAACTGCACAATATATTGTATATATGGGCAAGTTGATAATTGGCTATTCTGCCTTTTTAGAGGCCTAACATATAAAGACAGTGGTGTAGATATTGCAGCTGGTAACACCTTGGTTCAGAAAATTAAACCTTTAGCAGCAGCCACATCAAGATCAGGTAAGATAACATATTCTTATCACATTTTGTAGAATTACAAATTGTCAAAACACATGTTCATTAATATTTTCTAGGTCCTAGATTTGTATTTTGCCATTGGAATTCAAGGGTGCAGAAATGATTGAATATTGGATTACTACAAATTCCATTTGGGATTATGTATATAATTCTGATCCTTATTTCAGCAGGAATTCTGTAAATTAGCAATTAAATAAATTCTTTGCATATCTACTCAGGAGCCTTAACTCAGGCTGCTGGAACTTGTTGTTGGTATCAAGTAAGCCCTATTAAATAATTACTATTTGATAACTGAGTTGGCAAAAGATTTCAGATTAATTCATGGGCAGTGGGGAAGGGAGAACAAGCTTTTATTTTGACTTCCCCTGCCATATTACCTTATTGGGGAAGGTTAAGAATTCTGGGAATTGAAATCCCAATTCATCTTGAAGGTGCAATGTTGAGGGGAGTTGCTTTCATTACAACTGACTCGTTTCCAAATAAAATCAAAATTAATACCCACAAATTAAGAAAATCCATAAATGTTATCCCATGTTTTCTGGAACCTATTTTTGTGGATTTATGTCAAGATTTGAACAATGGACAAATCAAGCCAGAACCACAAATTGTTAAATCTTATAGTAATAACCCTTTTCCAACACTTGCTAGGCTGTAATGCTGAACTTGGAGGTTTTGCTGGCCTTTTTGATATAAAAGAAGCTGGATATAAAGATCCAATTTTGGTGTCTGGTACTGATGGTGTCGGAACAAAGCTTAAGGTAATAAAAAAAAGAAGGCATCTCATAGATTTTATTTTGGGGGGTATTTTGTTGTTTATTTTTAGAGAGGCTGGTGGAAGTCTGAAACTAAGTTTCATTAGAACCTTTTCATAATGGGTGTTAACAGTAGAACTGGGAGTTCCCAGGTCAAATCCGCCTCCAGCATGGAAATTCACTTCATGAACATGTGTCTCTTGCTTTCTTACTCACTCTACCTCACAGGATTGCTATTGTGAACTTAAAATGAAGGACGCTACTTGAAACTCTTGGAGAAAGGCAGCATATAAATCTAATAAATTTAGATCAGGGAGTTCTAAAATTTTTGGGGCAGTGGTATATTTAGAAAGTTGGGAATATCTATGAACAGTCTTCAAAAATGGTTGCTGTGGTGGACATGACAACATAAAATACTCCTTTATTAGGTGGGAAATTACTACTGCTTGATACTTTAAGCTTCCCAAGTACAGTGGCACCCATGGACTCCAGATATGGAATTCAAATAAGATGTGAGGGGATTCAGTGTTCCCTCCTTGAAATCTCTAGTCTAAAGAAGCCATGAGAGGATGGTCAATAAAACTCATCTATGCAGCAAAACCTTTTTGGAGCTATGGCATATTGCTTTATTAGGATCGGCAAATAAATGTACTTGGGGGGGACGGGACTGGCAAAGGCACTTTTTGCCAAGTCTCATCAAGATGAGAATTGTAAAATGATCGTGACATGCTGCTGTTTCTTCATTTTCACAACAGATTGCCCAGTTGTGTAATAAGCATAACACCATCGGTCAAGACTTGGTTGCCATGTGTGTCAATGACATCTTAGCTCAAGGAGCTGAGCCTCTCTTTTTCCTTGACTATTTTGCATGTGGGGAACTTGATGTCAGGATGGCTCAGACAATTATAGCTGGAATAGCAGAAGCTTGTAAACTAGCAGGCTGTGCTCTTCTTGGTATGCCTCTTTACTTCTATTATCACAGAAATTTTATCACCTTTGGAAAGGAAGCTGGGATAGTGATTGGGAACCTACATGTTGTTGAGAATGATATATGTGTTTTGTTAGTGCTTGAAGAAATCATTGTCCAGTGACTTGGTTCCTTCACACACTAACCCACTATTTGCTTTAATCATAATCTCTTAGAGAAATCATGGTGGTTCCCATATATTACAAATCCAGAAACAATGATTTTAGAATAACCATTGTTAAACTAAAAACAATATATTCCTTTGCTACTAAAATCAAAACAACTCTTGATGACTTATAGAGAAAAAATGCAATATTAAAAGAGTAAATTAATACAAACAACAATAGCAACATGGCTTAGCTTAGTGTTAAACCCAGGCATTGGATTTGTGATGGGTTGTCACCATGCGGGTTTAAAGTGACAGAGACTGGCATAGATAAAATTAATTCCTTGTTTTCCCCCATCTAATATGCTAGTTTTCTATAGACGGTTCAAACATTGTACAGTTCAATAGATTTACACCATGTGTGTCTTCTAGGTCTTTAATTATACTAAGGCAAATTCCCCGGGATGACCTTTTTCTTTATGGGATTCTATTTCTTTGTCAGCTAGGAATTATTGGTATTAAAACCCCATATTGTAAAAGCAGTCTTAGCCATTTTTTTTCCATTCTTGATTTATTTTTTTTCTACAGAATTTGTAGGAAAGAATGGGCAATATTTCATAGTAGGATTCCCAGGGGAGCACTATTCCTTAGAATTAAAACGCTTATGACATTCTAAACTTTGTCATAGTATAATGTCTATAAGAATCCAGATAGCAAGATTACATAAAACTTCATAATAATATTTTTCCATCCCTACCCTACTCCCAAACTCAAGGTGGAGAAACTGCTGAAATGCCTGGCATGTATCCACCTGGAGAATATGACCTTGGGGGATTTGCTGTGGGTGCTGTCGAACGAGGACAGATGCTGCCCCAACTTGACAAGATCACTGATGGAGACGTAGTTCTTGGAATTGCTTCCTCTGGTATTCACAGCAATGGGTTTAGCCTTGTGAGAAAGATCGTTGAAAAATCCTCTTTAGATTTTTCTTCTCCTTCAGTGGGTGACTGCCCTGAGCAAACACTAGGTAAGCTCTGTAAATACAGCATTTTCAAGCAATATCAATATTAATTTCTGATTGTCTATTTAATATGTTTATACCTATGCTTATGCAAATTACTTTGTAAATATTTTCCAAAAAAATGCAGTAGTCATCTCTGTCCTCATTTTCCACCGTTGTTG